CCAAGATTCCAGAAGCAGTTGACTTTATTGAACGCATCCAGCAAGATCTATGAAGGAGAAGAGAATTCTTGAAGAGGCTACGAAACTTCATGCAAAACGTTCGAAAGAGTGAGCTCGTAGATGACGGATGCGAGTAAACGAACCGAATGCAGTAAGTGCTGACATACATGCATTAAATGTGAAAACGGCTTATGCAGAAACAATGTTTTTGAGAGCTGTGTGATAATATATTGACGAAAGAGCAATCTCCCACCGGCTGACTTCCGCGGACCCAACTGAATGTGTCTAACTCGCAAGGGCTCTTATTGATGGCATGGATGCTCCCCCACCCTCGAACTCTGAGCTCAGCGTGGCGCTCACTGTTTGCCTCACTTCTCTCTGCCACTCGACACCCGTCCATCGGAAAGAAGATTGCTGATTCGCATCCCCTCCTTAACACTTCGCTGTAGTTTTTTTATGCAATTTTTTCGCTGTCGACTAGTAACTATAGTGCTTCTATAACGTAATTATCACAGCAAAAGACAGTCAGTTGTATAACATCTCACAATTCTTCAATACAAACCTTGAACGTAGACGTAGGACGTTGATGTAGATATATTATGTTTTTATAAGTTGCAGATTACTGAAACTTATTGCAACAAGTTGCAGATTGTTGGATTAATGGTGATAAATAAATTATATACATTGATAACTTGTGTTACGCTATAACTATATGAGATATGATGTGATTTGATGCACTAGTGATTTGTGCATATTGTAGTGAAAACGAAAAGAGATCAACAAGAAAACTACAGTGAAGTCTTGTTGTAGGGATTGGACAAGCAACCTTCTTCCCGATAGACGGGTGTTAAGTGGCACAGAAAAGCTAAACAGACAGTGATTTGAACGCTAAGGTTACAATCGCAGAGAGCTGAAAGGTAGAATCGTCCCCATACTGGCAGTGAGAGCCTTTGCCAGTTAGACAAGTCCAATTTCAGCCCGCCGAAGTCAACTGATTAATTATCTCTGTTTTCCTCCTTCATCAAATGCTATTAAGCGTGATGTCATGTAAGATCGTTAATGAAGTGCTAAATCCATTGGAAAACTTTGCGGAAAATTGTATCAAGCGTTCGTCCTTCGACGCTCACTCTAATGTCCAGCGAGAAGTATAGGCTTAGAGTAGCATTGATCTTACAACAACGCCTTGAGGAACGCCACAGCCAGGCTATGCTCGAGATTGCAAGGACACTCGCTCAAACGTATTCTGCGACGTCTAGGAAGAAGATGAAAAACAAACTAAATGCCAAAAGGACTGGGATCCGCACGATGAAAAAAAAAGCTGTGAAGACGAGTCAGTAAAGCGTATGATTACACCAAGTGATGAAATATTACAAAAAGCCTTTTGGAGATGTTTTCCTAGTGTAAAAACTCCCATGTGCCGAAAAATCTTTAATGTGTCAAGAAGAAAACATCCTTTCGAATATAACATTTGTTTAGCCTTGTTTTTTCCTTAATCTATGTTTTTGTAATAGTTCGATAGCATGGAAAATATCGACTTTCATACTGCGCTTTATTTATGGTTCGAGCTTCATACCGTTTTACTAGTCAATGAATTGTAACGTTTGCGATCGCAGTAGATTTTTCAATTCAACAGAGGATTTTTCCGTACTATGGAGTCAAATTTTGATTTCATGCAAACTTTTTCGCCACAAAGAATAGAGTTTATTGAAGGGATTAATGTGAGCACATTTTTGCAAAAAAGTCCCAGTTTTCCTGAAAGTCCCCACCTCTCATAATGGAATGCAGCGCTTAGTGTCGAATGTAGCCGTTTCCTTTCCTTTCTAGAACACCTAGATATGAGCCTACGTCCAGTGACAAAAGCCACTTTGCTGAATTACGTTGGAAGCGGAACATATGCGATAATAGAACTAATTTTGTCTATTTTAGGATGGAACAAATTCTGTTATACACTTTCATGAAATCCGACTCCTTAAGTACATTCATAATGAAAAGTATTGAGAGAAAGAATGAGTGGTCGGGCAAATGTGTTGCAGTGGTGTAGTGGTAGAGCACGCGTCCCTGGATAGGATGAAACGTGGGTTCTATTCCCGCCTGAGGCCGTGTTTTGTTCACCACTCAGTTCTCTTAGTTGTATAAGTAACATCATAACACTGCGAAAAAACAGAGAAGATACTACAATATAGAAGTACCAAGAGAGTTATCAATGAAGTGGTATTGCATGCAGAGTGCAGCATTATTTTCGGTGAATATTCACTGTCCTGTAATTTTTAATCGTAATGACCACTTGAGGTAATGCCTGAATGAGACGGTATCAAAACCAAAAGATTTACTCCGTAATATCTGATTTCGAACGTACAAATTGATAGTATTGACAGGATGTCCAATAATGTGGAGTGCTGTGCAGAAAACATTTACATCAGCCGGGATTCGAACCCAGATCTCATTCTTTCCGGAAGCATGCGCTAACCGTTGCAGTCGGTGGTGTAACGGTTATCATACGCTCCCGGAAAGAGTGAGATCTGGGTTCGAATCCCGACTGACATAGATGTTAGTGCACAGCACTCCACATTATTGGGTATACTGTAACATCATACCACCGCAAGTGGCGGTTAAATAGAAAGAATTCTGACTAATATTAACAAGCCATTGATACTAATATTAATTGCGGTTGGCAACTAAGTTTTGCTGCATCAAAAATATTTAACAAAAAAATTTTGTTGAACTAACAAATGCACATTTTTGTTGAAAGTATGCGTCATTAGAATTAACAAGGTTTTGCCAAATTTTTGGCAGCTCTTTTGATGCTTCGACATTAGAGTTCTAGGGTTTTTGTAACAAAATGCACAGATGCATTATCACATCATCGGCTTTGGCAGAGCGTTTTCCTGCCAAGGAACGTTGCAGAGACGTGAAAAAAATGGTAATCACTTGGAACAGCATCTGGGCTATACGGTGGATGAATTGCACGTTCCCACTCTGATTCTTCAATCTGTTCCAATGTCAGACGGACAATATGTGGGCGAGCGTTGTCTTGCTAAAAAATGATGCCTCTCTGATGAAACCGTGGCGGCTGATTCTGACGTGTTGATGTCACTTTCAAAAAATTTGTTGAACTATCTTTGTTTCGTTCGTAAATCAATCGCCTTGAGGTCGAGTGCTCTACATATGTTTTGCGTAACTGACAGAATGACCCAGGGAGGTCATGTAAGAGAAGTACACAAAGCTTAAGTTTTGAAGTGTTCATTCTGAGATAAAAAAATTTTGTAAACTACAAAAATTAAATTGCCTTATATACTTAGAATCCCGAGATCACGAGCTTTCGAATGACATAATCACGATAAAAAAGACCAGAAAATAAATTTGCTGTAAATAAATAGAGAATAACTAAAATTCTTTCAAAAATTAGTGCTTAACTTAGTATAATTAATTATTTCATGTTGTACTGCAGTGGATGACGAAATCGATGGATTGGGGCGAAAAAGGAATACGCATTGGTGGCAAATTCTATAAAACCCTTTTTTTTTTGCGGACGACATCGTTATCTTTTCGAAAAGTACTAGTGAAGTAGAGATGATATTCAAGGAACTCGAGGAAGCGTGAAAAAAGCTTGCGTACGCATAAACAAGATGAAAATACAGCCCATGAAAAATTATTGGTGCAAAAGTGAAAAAGTCGCATTGGATGTTTCTCTGGTCAAGAAGATCACCTCATACGTGTACCTTGGACGTTTAATGAACATAGCGAACAACATGGAAGAGGAAGTAAACAGAAGGAGAGCAGCATCGACCGCATTCGAGTGCTTCAAAAAAGCCACCGACCAGACCCCAAGCTCCGTGCTCAGGTTTCTGATTCAGCAGTCCTCCCAACGCTTTGTTATGCAGCAGAGAAGAGACGAGGATTGTTGTTTCGACCACGCCAAGGCCACCGCCAAGAACTCACAGAGTGCTTGAACGATGTTTTCTACGATGCAGTCGGCACTCACAACATTCAGCCGGTTTGTGCAGCTCAGATCTTTCGGATTCTATCTCATTTTCGTGATCCAGAAGAATCTACATCAGTAGCATAACGCACATGGCTCACTAGCATAGTAAGAAGAGCAGATGACAGATGGACGCGACGAACTATAAAGTGGACACCGAGTAAATACATTGGCCAAGGAGGACGACCATCTGCACGTTGGGCGGACGTGTTCATGAAAAGAATTAATCGACTGTACTCGTAGCTGCCGATATTTTATAGATCACGGTATGAAACCCGCGCCAGCCGCCATGTTCGAATCAAACCACCATCATCGTGAACGACAAACGCGAGAAGAAGAAACGAGTAGAAAATGTGCTGGGGCCCACACAACTCGTGAAGACAAAGCTTTCAAGTGTCCGTGCCAGCGACTAAGATTTTTTCTAAGTTACAATACATTTTATACTAATATTATTATTAATATTATTAATGATAATTTATTTGACGATATTTTATAGATTACTGATCATTTTGACGATCATTTATAGCAATGAATAAAGGTGAATTGCTCTTGCCACAGACAATAAATGCGAAATAAAACCAGTAAGTATGTAGCTTTCTTTTCCAGAAATACGGCGCTTCAAAAAAAAAAGCATTGGCGTTGTTTCCGGGTTGCAGTGATGATTAAGTTGCAATGTGCAGTATCATTATCGACAGTCACCTCAGTATTGTGTAGTCGTTTTGGCATGTTTCAACCAAAAAACACCCTCAATAAAGTCTCTTCTATCATATACAACTATTTACCGACAATTGAACTACTTTTAGTGGTTATGAAAGTCTAAAGTTCATTAAGTACTACCACATTGTCACTATAAAACACTGAGCTCGTCACGCTCGCTGCGCGATTCCTCCGCCCGCCGCGCTGAGAGACCAACGTGGTTCTCAACGGGTTAAAGTGTTGAGTTTGTGTTAATTAGAAGCTTGTTATGACGATAAGCAAAAAAAAAATTGGAAAATACTTTGGATAAGAGATGGCGCTACTATGATAAACGACAAGGAGAAGTGAAGAGTATTAGAACTTATCAAACCTACAATATTTCTTTGTAAAGACAGATGTTAAAAATGATTGTTGAGTCATGGTTTTTGCATCATTTGAAGAGCAGTACCTTTAACAAAATCATATCTGCGATATGTTTAGAACGTCATTGGATAAGTGAGAGTCACATCTATTGCCATATTTAGTGGAAAAACTTTTACATTTCAAGCACTTTATTTGATCCGCGATCACAGTATTTCTTCTTTTCATTTCAACTTCTTTTCATTGTGCGGATCCCATTACTTCTAATATTCATAATAGTTTTTTTGTCTTCTCGAACGACGTAGAATACTAGTTGAGCAAGTCTTCTTGCAGTCTCGAGGATAGCCTTGCTGTAGCGTTCCATACATATGGCGTTGTTGTTGAGCGCCGGAGACAGTGGGGGAATGGAGCTCGGCTCCGCACGCGCCGCGATGAGCATCACAACCACTCAGCCACGGCGCCCCATAGTGTAAAAATGGGCTGTGAAATAACGACACATGTCCAATACACCCCAAACACACTTCTGAACCATCTCATCTTCATTCTATAGAAGAAGTTGAGCAACATCGTAGAGTTCCAGAAAATTACTTCGGATTGATTGGACAAGTAAAACCAGGACAGGACCGAAGGCGTGGAATTCAAATATCATGACAATTGGCAAGAATATGTGATCAACAATTTGAAAGCGTCTCGACGATATTTCTCAGTACACTACCTAAAAATGTCATACAAATCAGTTAACAGTATGTAATTGAGAAAGTGGCAGCCTGTTTCGCTTGTTTACATTGTTAAGGCATGAGACATGTTTTTATTCAAGAAAAAAATCAATTAAGATAAACTTCTAGCAATTATCTCAAACATGTGCCTGTTGTGAAATTAGTTAAAAAAACAATTTGCTCCATCCCATCCTTTAGAGTCTTCAATTCATACCAGACTTGCTAGGAGGATAGCAGCACTGACTTAATGCACTGGTGAGCCTCCGCGAATTCATTGTAATGGCCATATATGAATTCAACTACTTCAAACAGAGCTGAAAATGGAAGACGAACGCATTTTACATCTTTCAGGGATTGATAAACGCCGAGGCTCTTCATCCTTCTAATCAAATCTACATTTTTATTAGAGAAGTTGCAGTAAAAAAGGCAGTCTTCAAATGCTTTCTTAACTGAATTTTTCTGTGTATTGTCATTTGTGCAGTAAACCTAGTTTACTGGATTGCCAGGTCACATGCGACATGGCAGAAGAGATATGCAAACAAAGTGCATTAGTAATTCGATTCTAGGGAATCCAACGGTATGAAGATAGGCAAAACTCTCTTTGTATTCTTCGCGTCATGAAGAATCGAACAAACCGATCCACATCGGCTACATATTTCTCGCTCACGCTCGTTCAAGGCCACTCAATCATTGGCAGGACAGGTGATGCCGTCATAAAGGTGTTACAGGATACGTCCACTGATTAAGCTTGTTTTAATTTCAAGCCCCTAATGGGTTAATTCAGACGACGAATTCATTGTTTAAGACTCCACAACGTTCTGAAGGGTAATGAATGAAACAAAATGAATCTATTACAGTTCGATACCCGATTCTGATTGGGTTTATTTCTGATGACTACAAACTTAGACATGCATTCGAAGCAATACTGTAGCACCCGACTAGAATCACTAACGGAAGTCGTGAAAATTTTAGAACGCATTATGAAAAGTTAATCTGACAATTTGCACTCTTAACAATACTTAAATATTAAACATTCAGGGCCTAGGTAATATTTGTCGCCTGTAAAAAAAAAACTGAGTCTATCAAAATATGCCTTGCACCTTTACATCCACGTGGGGACTGTTTTTGTGCATTTAAGGATAGACAGGATAAATTCATTCAGGTGACAGTGGGAAGGTCCTCTTCCCAGAACTTACTCTAAGATAGCATTACTGCAGAAGAGTTCAGCGAGTTAACGTGATTGTCTTAGTCGAAGAACGGTAAAAAAGCAGTGAGTCACACATCAAAAATGTAATAATGTCCGTGCTGTTTGAGTGATCGCATTCTGTTCGCTCTCAAGTTAGTTTGCTTGACGATCGCTGAAACAGCGATCGCTATCAGATTAACATAAATCATTGAGGTGGGCAAAGTTTGCGAGCGCTGCTTAACATCTTGATAGGATCATTATTTTCTGACTAGCTGTACTAAAAAACACGACACAAGGACAATACTGCAAAGGATTGTTAATAATTGAGGTGGTAAAGAGCTGCATTCAGTATTCTCATCTCTCTGTCAACCTTTTGTCAATCGAAGCAACTTTGTCGAATATAACGTCAAAATCTCTTGGGAAAATCATCAAAATCTCGTCGCTTCGAAAAAAAATCGCATTTAGAGGGCTCTCATCAACTCTGTACACTTAGAACTTCACTATTATGTAAGGAGTAAGCTTATATGCAGCTTCAAATGTGCCTTGAGAACGTTTTTTTTTTGTCTGAATTTCACTACTGAAACTTTTCGCAAGCAAAAACCAAAACAA